CCCCAAAACCCCAAAACCCCAAAACCCCTTCAAGCCACATATTTGGAAAAAGAGAAATGTATACATAACCATAAAACTATCAGTGTAATAATAAATATAAATATTCAAATGTATAAACTCTTAGCCCTAAAGACGTAATCTCTTTTTACACCAAGAATCCTCCCTATAAGCGGACAGTTTCGATGCTTCAGCAACAAATTTGCATCAAGGGTTCTCATGGTTGAACCTACTCACTTTTACTAAAATGTGGAAACAGCTGAAGATAATAAGATGATGACTGAAACTAAATTAGATCAACAATACTTAACTAAGAAAGCTATAGAAGAGTTTTAGAGATTCAGAGAAGTTATTGAAAAGAATGATATAGAAACATTGGTGTACAAGCAATTGATTCCAGAACTACCAGATTCAATGTTTGTAAATAACTGGGTTTCCACACATAAGAGCGAGGATATCAAGGGTAATCTTTTATGATAATTTAATCTTAATTTTAGATGGGCTTTTTGTTTTGTATCCCATGAAAGCAGCATCAAGAGAAAGCGAGAAAAATCCTAAAATTATTAGAGATCTAATTCCTCAATACAAAAACTTTATTGATCTCATTAGGAACATCCCTGAGCAAGCACTTGAGGGCACTGGCTCTTTGATTTTCGATAATGAAAATAGAAAGATCTATGTTAAGCTCTCTGCTAGAGCAGATGCAGATCTACTTTAAGATTTTCTCAGCCAATTCAATAGGATCGCCAAGAATCCTTATCGCACAATTGTTTGGCATCAGGATGACCCAACTAAAGATACAGTTAATCATACTAATGTGATTATGTCAATCTTAAGAAATCATGTTGTTTTATGTTCAGAAGCAATAGCAGACAAAAAAGAGAGAGAAAAAGTTTTGAAAGAAGTCACTGAAGGATATCTTAACAAGAAATCTAGGAAACTACTCAATATTACTCAAGATGAGATGAAAAATCATTGTGGCAATATCATAATGCTGCGCAACAAGAAGGGAGATGATATAGTTGTAATGAGTGATAGAGCTAAATAGAGTCTCAATCCTGAAAGTCTAAGAGAGATAGAGACAAACTATAAAGTTGTCTCTGCTGATTTGCACACAATTGAAAAAATTGGAGGTGGTTCTGCAAGATCAATGCTCGCTGAATTGTTTTGATATTTTAATACTCACTCTCACTTTCAGAGAATGTCTATTCAATTAATTTTAACTTTTATGAAATTAAACGAATATATTTGCAGATAAAATCATCTATCATTAAATTAAAATATAACTATAGAGAGTATTTCCTGTAGTTTTTATTAATCAGAAAATTCTCTCAGATCTTTTCCATTATCTTACTTATAAGTCCTTCCATACTATTCAGACTACCTTCTATTGATCTTGTTTGTGAGTCCATCTTATCAAGCTTGTTATTTCTGAATTCAAGTTGCTTATCTATCCTGTTGTTCAATTCATTAATTTCAAAAGCATTTAGAGCAAGCGAGCTCATAACATCACCAAATAAACGCATTTATTTCTCGTGATCATATTATGATTGAATTTTTTAACCTTCCTTCAATTCTTTTTTCAAATGTTTGAAACCATTGCTAAGACTATCAGGCTTTGATGAGGAATTTGAAACTTTCTTTTTATCTTTTTTACCGACTTTCGTAGATTTTCTTTTCAATGGGCTCTCTATTATTTCAGTCTTAGATTCCTTTTATTTTTCTATCTTTTTAGGCTATGGGGGCTTAACTTTTGATGGACTTCTTGGGGGTTATTTTGCAATATTACTTACTTTTGCAACTTAAGTTGTTTGAATCGGTAATCCTCTACTTGAATTTTTTTATTAGGGTTATGGTCTCGGTATATCTCCACCTATAGATCCTGTACTTTACTTTTATACTATTAATTTGAAATTTGAAAGATTATTTAAGACTGCTGCTTGAGTTGAATTAGTTGAAGTATGCTTTAGGATAGAACTCTATAATTAAGTCATATCTCTTTATAAACCTCTTGAAGAGTTTTAATCTCCAGTAAATCTCCTTTTTACAGCCTCATCTTATTGATCTAATTTTTGAGTTCTACCTGATTAAAGCATTCCCCCAAAATTCATTGAATTTCTACTCTTAATTTGTTGAAGAATTGCTGTTGGACTAGAATTTTCTTTGACAGGTTAAACAGGCTACTCTATTTTTTCTGTATCCTTCTTTTAATTTTCTAATTTACTCCTAAGTTTACTTTCATCGTCTGAATCTAAATCTTGCTCATCTTCAACTTCATCTGAGTCATCATAATTTGAGATTGAATCAGCCTTTTTATAAACAGTTTTACCTTTTCTAAAAATTTCTTATGGATTTACAGGCTATGGTCTTCTTACTGAAATAGATTTAACCTCAACTGGTGGTTAATCAGATTATGTGTCAGAGGCATCAAGTTAGCCTGTTTTATGAGATGTTATCATATCAAGTTTTCTTCTACTTGCTTTAGCTCTTTTAATAAGATCATCACTTTTCTTTATCTTTTTCTTCCAATTGGAAAATTGATTTAAGGGATTTTTGTTTTAGAAGATCGTATTGTTCTTAAGTGCTTTTACTTTCCTGTCTAAATATTTCTTTTTTGCCTCTTGAATCTACTTTTAATGCCTTTTTCTTCTAATATTAGCTGTGTTTTCCATTTAAATTTAGATGTCAGGAAAGTACTTAAGGATTGCCTTAAGTTCTTTAGAGCCTATTACTAATAGATGACACTCTGAGTCAACTATAGCTGTACCATCTCTGCCTTATCTCCTGCATTTTTTAAGTAAGATTTCCAAATCACCGAAATAAGAACCCTCCACATACATATTGAAAGGAATGTTAATTGGTTGAGAGTTTTCACCTTCAGAAATATCGTAGCAAAGTTTAACTCTACCAAGTTAGATAAAGAATACTTCTTCTGGATGATCTCCTTGAGAATATAGTATATCTTTGGAATAAACTTTCATTGGCTTAAGTGCAGGAAGAAAGGCCCACAGAAAATCTGAGTCTTTTTTGTTAAAGAATTTAACTTTTTCAATGATCTCAGCATATGTTTACTTCACAACCTCTGCTCTCAAAGAACTTGGTAGTTCACTTAGCATTTATCGGCTTTCTGTAAGAGAAGTATTACTGACACTGTTGTTTTCCAAGAATCTTTTAATTTTTAAGACTATGTAATCAGGTAATTTAGTTCTTTTAGCAAAACCAGTTAAAGTGTTTAATTTCGCACTTAATTCACTAGCTTTAACGTCAATAGTTGAAATGATTGATTGCAAATTACCGATTGTGAATGAATAAAAAGCAACACCAAAGATCATCCAGAGTAAGCAATAAATTCTTTCGAAGGTTGTTGTTCCTTAAACATCACCATAACCGACAGTTGTGAGAGTCTGAAAAGCCCAATACATTGCTGTAATATACTACGCAAAATTTGTATCATCTATAAGTTGCTTTCTTACCACCCAGCTTTCAGGATCATAATCAGTATATGTTGCTACCATAAAGTAAAAGCAAGATACTAGATGGACAAGGAAGAGGACAGTTACTGTTACAGTAATCATTTTCATGTAACCTGGATTCAGTCTTAGCTGATCCATTAACTTTTTGATATTTCGATTGTATTTGAGTAGTCTCACCATTTTGAACAGCCTGAGAATTCTTAGTAGTTTATAAAGTCTGGGCAATCTTGTCAGTTTCAGAAGTTTACTATACTTTGCAGAATTTGAGCCTACACTACTAGAAGTTCCTCCTGTTGTTATTGGAGTAGTAGTATTTAGAAATCTTGAACCCAAAATCAATGTAGAATTCGTGAAGGAATCATCCATTATTTCAGTTATAATCTCATTGGTTGTAGTTACGTCTCCTCCACTAAAATCTAAATACTGAAATGGAATGCAAGACATCACATCAAATATAAACCAGCTCGTTACATACTTTTAAGCTATCTTGAAAAACCTGAACTCAATATTTCTTTCACTGTCTTCGTAAGCACTAATGAAATTAACGATTATATCAATGATAAAGAGAGAGTCTATTGATAGTTCTATAGTGTTAACTGTGTCTGAAGAACTTTCTATGAAAGCTGTTTTGTATGGAATATATGTTCCTGTATATATAACCAATAGCATCATGACTACATTCCAGGTGTTTTTTGGCTTAGAATATGGAAATAAGATTATAGGCAAAGGTCTTAGCTTCTCTTGCTCAATAAGATAGTCATGCTTCTTATCTGAGCCATACAAATAGATTCACCTATTGAGATCACCAAATATCTCAATTACTTTAACTGCTCCCCTAGCTTTAGCTAAAGTTCTTTACCATAATTCTACGATCCTGTTTTATTGCTCGTATTCATCCATTCCTAGGAAAATTTCTTCTGCATCTAAATCACTCTCACCAGAAGTATATAAAAATGAATCATCTAGCTATTCTTTTTTCTTGCAACATTCGCATAGTCTCCTACAGAATCTCTTTATCTTGAGTATTTAAGCTTCAGTCTCATTTTATAATAAATCAGCATCAGGATCCCTTATAATTGTAGTCAGTGCTCGGTACTTATTCTTTTCATGGCCACTTCTTTACCTCAAGATAATATCCCTAGATCTGAATTAGGATGCCTCTTTGATATTATCTTCTTCTTCTAAAATATCATCGACATCAGGTAATTAATCTTAATCCTGTCCATACTGTTATATCATTGAAGCAATATTACTTCTTGTTTAGGCGAATGATTACTCTATATTTTCAAGAATTGGATTTGTAACATCTAAATTTGATTAGAGCTATAGATTATTCCCTATTATGCTTCTTTGAGTTATTCTATTGCTAGTATGCTAAGAGACCAATCGACTTGAATTTTTATTCAAATTGTGAATTGTCTTTTGTGAAGCTAAATTTGGACTAATTGTTTATATCTCAGACTTCGAAAGGACAGTATGCGATCTCTCGTACTCGTTTACTATGTTTTCCATTTGCTTTTCATATTCTTCATCAGTAATGCCCCCTTTTTGATCTGAGACTCTGCTTTCACCCAGCTATCTTGCCATCGCTATGAACTCTTTCGCTGCTTTCATTTTCAGCTAGGATTAATCGAAATCTACTCTTTGAGAATTTAAGTTAGATGATTTTTTGCTGTTCATATTCTAATCTCCAAAATTGTTCTGATTAAATGTATCATTTTGCTAATTCAGAAGTCCAGTTTAAGAGTCAATACGATGGTGGCCATAACCTTAACCATTGTATTCAGAGTTAATAGTAGTCAGATTTTATTGTCGACTTGAAGGCTATAGTCCTCTGGTTTAGGTTTTTTACCTGTTCATATTTCTTCGAATTATTATTATTATAAAGTAAGTAACTTCTCATTTTTTGCAATATATTTTGAATAGCGGGGTTTTGGGGTTTTGGGG